AATGCAGTATATTCCTGTTCCACAGAGCAAGTTTAAGTTGGACAACAAAGAGTGATAGCATCTATTCAATCTAAGTTTAATTTTTCTGTATCCTTGTTTCCTATTCTTTAATTTATGATTCTCCACATCTTCCCTACTTCATTGCTCTCTTGAATATTATGTCCTTTGCTCTACTCCTTTCAAAGCTAATTTTTCCACTGGTTCCCAATTTTGAAAAAAATTAAGCAACAATATGACACAACAATACTTGTGTTAAAGTATTTCTAATTTCTGATTTCCCTTGTGGCCCAAACTAAGCCCTCAGGGTGATGTATGCAAAAAAATTAAAACAAATTCAGAGACCAGATTACTAACAAAAGCAACCTGCCTAGCCTGTCTTTTTAATGGAGCATAATTAATAGGACTTCTAAAAGAGATAGTAAACTATTAGGAGATTCTTATGGAAAAAAATCATTCATTTGAATAGGATGTTATAGTTATAGATTAAAAGCAGCACATTGAATTGGGCTTGGAAGCAAATTGGAAATCAAAGCAATTGTTGGGAGATAGAGGAAAGGCAATTGGTAAAAAGCGCATCAAAACATCTAGTTTTGTGGTAGATGCACTGATTGTATTTTCCAAACATTCTTCCATGAATGATTGCAGCACTTTATTTAGTAAATGTATAAACTTGCAGTTATCTAAGTCAGTGGCCCCCAACCTTTTTTGTGCCCGGCCCGGTACCGGCATCACAAAATGATCCGCGGCCCGGTACCAGCATCAGCACGCATGACAAGGCAAGGTGAGCCAAGCGACCGGCCAGCCAGCCTTCCCCGCTTCTCCCCACCACCTTCAACTCCTCCTTTGTACCTTTTTTGTGCTTTCTTAATCTCCTCCGCCATTGAGACGGCTCTTCGTTTGAAGCCGCCCCACCCTCAATGAAACTAAGGTGCAAGGATTCCTTTAGGACCCAAATGCCGCTTTCTAACCGGAAAAGCTCACCCAGAAGCACTTTCTCGTCGAAACAAAATGGCGGCGCCCAGCAAACCGGCGGCCGGGTAGAAAATGATCCACGGACCGGTACCGGTCCAGGGCCCGGTGGTTGGGGACCCCTGATCTAAGTTATCTAAGTAGGAATGATTAAAACATGGGCCATGACAGTTACATCCGTCAACTCCAGACAGTATACCAACTGATGCTGAGCACTTATAGGCAGGCCAACCATCTGGCCATCCAGGATTTCTATTGTATCAGCAACATGCTCAAGCTACAATCTGACCTGTGAAAGGTGAAAAATGATCTAAAGTACTAATTGTCCAACCTCATCTTCAGGAAACGTTCAACCAAATCAACTAGAACCAAGCAATATGTCATCTTAGATTCTGTATTAGCCAAATATTCCAGAAGAAATTCATAATTAGGCTGGAAAGTTCCTGAGAAAAAAGTGTACCCTTGTCAGCAGCACAATAGAAGTGGTATTCAGCAGCTTCTGACCAGTTCTGGAGAATCGGTAGCAGAAATTTTGAGTAGTTCAGAGAACCAGCAAATACCACCTCTGACTGGAGATTTTACAGTATCTTTCCCCTGCCACACTCACCAAGCCACACCCACAGAACCACAGAAGGTAGTAAAAAAATTTGAATCCCACCACTGCAGCACAGGTATTTGCTAGCTGTTACTGAAGATATTTGCATCTTCAGTAACAGCTCTCTTCTGGTTATCCTCTATCAATAATGGTTTTTCAGGACAGAGGATCCTTGGATCCTTCCAGAAGTAGTTTGGGAGAAGATTTAAACATTTCTGTTTGTAAAGACTTTGCTAATAAATGATTTCCAGGAGATCTGGCAAAACTGTGACAGGCGTGTTTAGGCAGGATTTATACAACCATATACTGGGGGTTTTCTCCTTTGTAGAAAATGGCCAGTTCCATCTAAAAGATAATGTACTTCAAAGACAGGTTAAATGAGCTCAGTATATCACAGCTGTTGTGATTTAAAGAAGGACTAGCTTTAGAAAGCTGACAGTTAACAAGGCCCTATCTGCTGTGTGTGCATTGCTTTCAAACCTGCACATTTTTACCATCATATTTTTCAGTCTCTGAATACAGCCAGCTATGATTATTTGGTGAAAAGTAACAAGCCAGCATGCTGATTCTAGTTAGCAAACATTACATCTTGCAAGTTCCTTTTGGATTTCCTTCTGGGGGCATTATTTCACAGGCTGATGCCCTGTGAATTTGGGTTTGAAATCCAAATTTATGGTCTCTGCAAAATTTCTCAGTAGCTCTTAAGAAGGATCTGGGCATGCAATATAGAAAGGACTTTGAGAACTGAAACATAAGAAAAATATATTTGCCTTTTTAGTACAGGGGAGATAGGGAAGATACTTATTTGGTTCATGAATGTATAAGATAAAGTACATGTGCACTATCGTTTTCAGAATTGTTTTATCAGTTTTCTCACTTTCCAGATTTCTTAATACAATTTTTCAGACAAAGAATGCATACATAATATTTAAACAATTCAGTTTACTAACATATACGGCATATGTTAAAAGAAATATGTATGATCTAGGGTACATATGTACGTTTTCATGCAGACTGTCTAGATGAATGTTTGCTAGTGAGATGGAAGCAGAATAGATTGAATTTGAAAAAAAATGCACACATGATAGAAAGCAGAGCAGGCTTAATCGTCCATTTCTGCTTAACATATTTATTTCTAGCATAAAGTACGGAATAGAGAAAAACAAGTACATAGTAAAAGTGTGACATCAAATCAACTGAATTAATACTGTACAAGTGGAAATAGAAAATATGTTCTGGTGGCAGAAAGAAGTGGAAAGTAAGCAGCTTTGGATTTTAAGTGATGCCAAAGGTTTAGATGCTGCAAACAGCGCTGCCTTTTCTAAGGCAGAACCGTGTTTCCTGTTCTTTTACTGAAAGTTCCAAGGCACCAAGCAGATTGTTGTCAGATCAAATTAAAAATGAACTAATAACAAATCTCATCACCCCCCACGTAGTTCTCTAATCATCCTTCCCTCATCACTTTCAACCTTATCTTTGGCATCTAGGAGTCAGAAAAACAGGTGTGAGCTTGTCTTGTTTCTAGGACAGTCTTCTACATTCTGCTGACCTCCATTTACATTCAGGCTACAAATTCCAGTATTCCCAGCCAGCTGGAGAGCATCCAGCTAGGGGAACATCGATCTATAAGATAAGCAGGTGGTGAGAAAAATGGAGTGGCAAAAATGTGGAGCAGCTGTTGAGAACGTGCTTTTTTTCCCCGCTGTGCCTTTTTTGTATATCCATGGTTGTGCTTAGCATGATCGTTCTCAATCAGCTGCACTGATTGTGATGAAACATTCAAAGTGCTGTTTTTGTGCTCTGCATGTCAAAGCTTTGAGCATTCTGTGCCATAAGAATTTTACTCTGCAAGCCCTTTGATCATGGAGATAAAGCATTTTTGATATATTTTCCTCCTTTTTCTTACAGTGGAACAGTGATGAGCCTTGCATCCTGGATACAACAAATTTTAATCCTTGTTGTTTCAACAGTTCCATCATTTTTTCCCCTTTGTACTGTGGTACTTTTAATCATAAGAGCAAAAAAAATATGCCTCTAGTACAGAGATGGCAAACCATTTGGGCTCAGCATGTAGATTCAGAAAATGCCTAATTTGACTCTGCTAGTGTTTCTGTCTCTCTCTGTCTCACTTTCTCTCTCTGTGTGTCTCTTACACACACACACACACACGAGAAACAATAAAAAGAATAATAACTAAATTATTAAATAAATAACTGTAAGAGATGTGATGTAATGGATAGAACAGTGACTTGGGACCATTTTTTATATTTGTGGCATTGCAGCATCAAAGCTTCCCCCAACCCTTTAATTATTGTCTGTTTTTTTTTAAAAAAAACATATGACTTATCTTACACATAATAATCTTAGATAGTCCCGAATAATATTCAACAAAAGCAGAATAAAGTAAACCGACCAAAGCCAACAACAACATCCCAAACACAGTGCCATGATGTCTCACAAAGTCTACATTGATGCTTGGCATTTACAGAGTTCACATCTAGTCCAATGCCTGGCAAACAGCCTGATCTTCTCACAACTTTACCAAAGACGTGTAGAGCAAAGGCCCTCTGAATTTCAGGGGAGAATTGGAGCAGCCATAGAAAAGGCAACTCTCTGAGGTCCTACCAGATAGCAACAGTTAAGGAAAGGGATTTGGAGCATGCCTACTCTGTCTAAACTGATAGGACAGGTAGATACCCTATGCCATTTAAATCTTTAATGGTGATAGAACGATGGGGTAACAAGGACAAAATATGAGGTGCCCAAAACTGCACATACACTGCATGCTGGACCCACTTATAACTTCTGCGTAGTCTTCAAGGGCAGCCTGACATATCTTGCATTGTAGTAATTCAACTGGAAGGTGATTAAGGGGCGAGTGATGGTAAGCAAAATCTCCTAGTCCAGGAAAGGACACAATTGGCACACCAACTGAACCTGTTTGAAGGCCCCGCCTTAGCCACGACGAGTCCAGGATTCTCTAATCCTAATATTCTATTTATTACCAGCAACTTGGTCATTAAGCAAAATTGTCACTAAGTGAAACTGCAGTTATGATCTTACTTCAGCTTTCTTTCGCTTTACTGGCTGCACAGATCATAAATGCAAAGATTAGTTTGCAAAGTTATTTTGTCATCATTATTATAGCCTGAACAGTCAGTGTCTGGTGTAGTCGTTAAATGAGCACTACCTGTATTTCTCCACATTTTAGGAGGTAATATTTGTAAATGCTAACTACAGAAAGTGCAGGGCTTCTGGAATGTGCAATGAGATTGGGCAAAGGAAATACTTTTATTGGCACTTCTTGCTCTCCTTTCAAGCTCCTTTTTGCTTTGGCTGCAGGTCTAACTCACAAAGGGGTTGTGCGCTTCCGGGTCTTCCTGCCCTTTTGCCTTACAGGGTAAATAAACAAGATCCCACACACAATTTCACAATAACGAAGCGAAAACATTCCATGTTTTTTGTTGTCTACAGCTTCTGAAATACTAAAGCAGGTTGCCTGGTTTTTTTTTCCTGTTTTAGTATTGTTCTTTAGGAACATTGCCCAGCTGATATTCAACATGTCCAGACAGAGTTAGGATTCCAGTTTTGCTTTCAAATCCGGAACAAGCACAGTATTCCATTGTTAACTGGCCTGACTGCAAAAAGGATGGGTTGGGACTGCTGAAATAAAAATAAACAAAATTTGTCCAGATCTATTTTCTGATTTTGAATGCCAGGCCCTGCCTGTTGTAATCCTTTAAGGTGCCAAGTGCACATAGAATTCCAGTGCAGTTTAAAGGCGAGTTAAGAATAAATTGAAACTTAATATTACATGCTTTTGTTATATTCAGCATTCTCCTTTCTTATAGGAGTTCGGAATAGTGGATATTTATTTATCTACAGAAAATTTGAATGCTGCTTCCCGTCCAATGTGATGCTCAGTTGCCCTTAGGTTGGATTAAGAGATAGAGGCTGACCCACTCAGTAAGTTCTTGTTCCCTAAATATGGATTTCTTGATTTTCATGTCTGTACTCCAGAACTTTTAACTGCTATACAAGGCTTTATAAAGCCTATGTTGATGGAGAATTGTGAGATGTTCATTATACTTGGAAGACTCCCTATTTACTGAAGGAGGCTGAACAAGTTAATGTCCAAAAACCTGACTGGGGTGAACTTTGGCAGGAATTTCTTTTTCCTCTGGGCCAATCACACTCTTTCAGCCTAACCTTATTTAACAGGGAACTCCTGCAAAAATGGAAGGAGGAAGTTCCCTGTATCCTGCTTTGAAGCCCTGAATGAAAGGAAATCAAATAAAAAAAAATTCAAAAAGTGGACTTGATCCGCAAGTGCCTACTTAATTATTCTTATTAAAGTTTTATCAAGAGTTCATTATAGTCTTCACCAATTGAATGTCCTCCTAATGTTGTGGAACCTACCTCTGTATTTCTGGCTGGGAATTAAGGTACCTGTTATCCAAAGCCATTATCATTTTATTTATTTTAAACACTATTTATTTAAAATCATGTGAAGTGTTAGTACCACTGTATAATCTCTTGGTAAGATCACAACTGGAATATTGCATGCTGTTTGGGTTGCCACGATATAAGCCAAGATGTTGAAACTCTAGAAAGAGTGCAAAGAAGAGCAACAAAGATGATTAGGGGACTGGAGGCGAAAACATGAAGAATGTTGCAGGAATTGGGTGTGTCTAGTCTAATGAAGAGAAGGATTGGGGTGATATGATAGCAATGTTCCAATATCTAAGGGGTTGCTACAAAGAAAAGAGGAGCAACCTATTCTCCAAAGCATCTGAAGCAGTGGTGGTATTCGACTGGTTCTGCCCGGTTCTGGAGAACCGGTTCCACTGCTCTGCTGGCTCTGCTGTTGTGCCCAGCCGCCCACTCGTGCTCTCATACTCAGAGAATAGTGCCACGCGGTAGCTGCTGGAGCGACTGGGATCATGCAGGGTTGCAGGAGGAGAATTAGAATGCGCCTGCACAAACGCCTCTGCCTGTGCAAAGTGTGTGTTTGGCGCACACGTGCACAAAGCGCGCCCACTAAGCCACACCCACCGAACCAGTGGCAACAATATTTGAATCCCACCACTGATCTGAAGGCAGAAAAAGAAGCAATGAAAATAATCAAGGAGAGAAACAACCTAGAACTAAGGAGAAATTTCCTGACAATTAGAACAATTAATCGGTTGAATAACTTGCCTCCAGAAGTTGTGGATGCTCCATCTCTAGAGGTTTATAAGAAGAAATTGGGCAACCATTTGTCTGCTTGAGCAGGGCATTGGACTAGAAGACCTCCAAGGTCCCTTCCAACTCTGTTATTCTGTTCACATTTATATAACTGCTTATCTTCTAACCAACTCTGATTGGTTCCCAATCAACCACGAAGGGATGCTATCTCTTAATGCTAGCAGCATTTGAGTTTTATGAATAAATGGTCTTACTTTGTACAAAGTGCTGCTGTATTTTGTACAAGAAAAATCCTTGTATTACAGCAAGGTTTTTTTTTTTTGAAATTTATCTCTTTTGTTTAGGTTTTGTCCAAGTGCTAGGTATTTTGATAGGCAGTTGGATTGTGGTGCTCAGGGATTCCTCTCCTTGGTAGTTTTGAATCGAGGCTGTGTAGGAGATGTCAGAAGCTAAGCATCTATGTCTCTATTATTGTGTCTTTAATCTTAGCTATGATCAATATGATACCTTGCAGATATTTTGTAAATTAAAGGTCAGGTTGCTTGATATGCCCGAAAGGCACCAGGTTGGAGAAGCGACCTTGATTTACCTGACATTGTCATTCTCTGTGTCCTCCAGAGAATTTAGTCGCAATGTTCCCTCTGCCACCTCCCTTACAGGGAATATTGCAACTAAATTCATGCATTTGTTCTTGTCCCCTGCAACTTGAATGCTATGGGTTTTTTAAATCAAGATAAAAAAAGTCCCGTGTCTGCTAATTGCCTCTAACTTCATCCCTTTCCTATTTGCTTTTTAGAAATGCCCTTCAAAGGATTATATAAAACACTGCGGGTGCTGTGATGTCTGAAACTGTGCTGAGGGACTGCTTTCTGAAGGTAGTCCTTAAATTTGCCCCCCAAAATGTGTCTGTGAACCGTTCAAATTAATTTCTTACTGCCTTCTTGGGGTTGGAGAACAGAATTTGTCCTAGCCTCTACAGTGATGCTTCCAAAACTGGAAATACGCTACATCATAATGTGATTCATTTCTTATGATATAAATAGATCTAATGAATAAGCCATGGTTTGTTCTAGGCCAGTAAACCCCACAATTTGCTGCTAGTTTACTGATTGTACTTTTGTCTTGGTATGATGTATAAGTAGGGATGCAGGGTTTGTGTGTGAGGTTTCCAAGATTGTTTTTGTGTCATGTGCCACCTTTCAAGCATTGTACAGAGGTACAAGGCAAGTGTAGTTTAGAAAGGAGAGAAATCAAGGCATGGTCAAACAGATGCTTATTGTCTGTAAGTCTTTGAGAGCAGGAGTTATACTGGAATCACTTTTATGTGTGAGAGGATACTGTTAAGAATATGAGCTGAGGGAGCACATCTCATAATTGCAGGAGAAGTAGGCGGTGCTAGGAAGGCCCATATATGTTTGGCAGTCACTAACATGGTACTTCCAGCAAAGCTGCAGCAAGTTTTAAGAGATGGCTGAACACATCTCTAGACAACTGTCAAAATCAGCTACCAAATACAGCAGGTCTTTTCCGTGTGTATATATGTGCATGTTCATACAGTTTTCCTGATGAGGGCCATCATAGGAATGTATTAATAAAATCTTGATTTAGCAATAGCAATAGCACTTAGACTTATATACCACTTCACAGTGCTTTACAGCCCTCTCTAAGCAGTTTACAGAGTCAGCATATTACCCCCAACAATCTGGGTCCTCATTTTACCGACCTCGGAAGGATGGAAGGCTGAGTCAACCTTGAGCCTGGTGGGATTCGAACTGACTAATTGCAGTCAGCTGGCAGTCAGCAGAAGTAGCCTGCAGTACTGCATTCTAACTACTGCACCACCACAGTTCCTATTTAGGATGATGTGTGAAGAGAGCTGAGTAAGCATTGCATTTCCCCCGTTATCCATTTTTGGTATTAAAATAAAAAACGTCTTTGTGGTTACTTTTGCATTTGCTTAAAAAATAATGAAAGAAAACCAGCAAATATTGGGAAGTGGTGGCTCAGACGTATTCTAAGCATTTTGCTAGAGTTTTATACTGCTGTGAGAAATAAAACAACTGAAGTCTCCTGAGAGACCAAAGGTGTCCATATACACAGCAAGTATTCATCACATGCCTGCAGGGTTTTCTTGCACTGACTTTCTCACCTTCTAATCAGTCTACTAGTTGCGAATGAATGAATGAATCTCTGCTCCTCCAAATGCTCTTGGTGCAAAGGTGCCTCTCAACGCTTAGTTTCTCTGTTATTATGGAATTAGTGGAACTTAGGAGAAACTGACCTCAAAGAGATTCATTTACTGGTTAAACAAAGGCTCCCTTCTTCTACCATTGCTTGTTCTCTGCTGATGTTACCAGGTGATCAGAAATACGTTCCACATATTTTGTGCAAGAAAGTTGCTGTGTAACTTGTTGGAATTAAGAGGTGTTGATGCAATACGCCTGAAAGCTATTAGTAAGCAGTGGCATTGGTTATCCATACAAGTTGAACTTAATTGTTTGATTACTGGCTTTCATGAATTTAGAACCTTATCTGGCATACTAAGGAGAGTATCTGTAAACCAGAAGAAAGTTTAATGTTTTTATGTCTTGGTGCGTTACCAAGTTGTTGTAGTTTATTTTTGGACCACTGATGCGCCTCACAGATTATGTGTAGGCAGCTGGGAAAGTAAATGGGCAAAGTTATTCTGAGTGTGAACAAAGAAGTAAGTAGTTGGGCACGTCTGTCCTGAATCCATGTATCATGTATTTCCTTACTCAAGAAAGATAAAATATGGAATGTATAAAAAAGGGGTATTGAATCTGTAGCTATCCAGATACTGTTACACTACAAATGCTACCATCCCTCACAGTTGTCCGTACTCCTCATTGGGGCTGCTGAGAGCTGTTGTTTAAACGTATCTTTAAGGCCATAGATTTTCCACCTGTTATAACAACGCAAGTGTCTGCCTCCAAAGAACTCTCCTTTGGCTATGAATTATTTGAGCTTTTCTCTTTATTGGTGAAGGAGGCAAACCTGAGGCCACAGTAATCCCACCCAGAGAAAAGATGATTCTTCTGCATCAAGAATGATGCTTTTTCATTCATTCCTATCACTAAAAAGAGCCACATGGTTGTGTGCTGAAAATGGAAGTTGATTGTAAGGGAATAAAGCCAGTCTCTATTTCTTTGCTGCATGCGTGCCTCATCTTCACTTATTTTGCTCAGTTTTCCAAGCTGTATAATATGTTTCAGTAAATTGTTACTGAACCATTATGTCAAGCAGGTTCAGGCTTTCCATTCAGAAGTTTAAGATTCCCTGCAGTTTATCTGTCAAAAGGATTGGATGATTAGGGATAAATAATTGGGGAGAAAACTTCTTTCAGAATAACCAATATTAGCAAACGTAGATTTAACTTAGTGTAATGGAAATGGGCAGCCCAGAAGGTCCTTGCGGCACCTGTCTCATATTTGTGGCTCCGAAGCACCTCCATCCGCACAGTTTACAAAGTCAGAATTTAGCTATAAAAAATGATTTTTATAGCATAAAATAATGGGTAACAGAGCTATACTTGTATACTTTATTTGTGTATGTGTGTGTGCGTGTGTAGTTTTATTATTTTAATGTTATAAGCTCCCCCGTCTCCCTTTGGGGGTGATGGGTGGGAAATACATTTAATAAACCAATAAAATCAATGAATAACAAAAAATAATATAATAGACCACAGGAAAGGAGGGAATAAATAGTGAATCATTATGTTTGATTATAAAATTTGCATTTTTTTCATGGAAGTTTGGGGTGTTTAGATAAATGTGAGTGCTTAGCCATCTTTTTTTCTGCCCTCAAGAAAAAAAAAGCCACCTTTTTATAGACAATATATTGAGCCATTAATGACACCCACCCACAGAACTGTGGGCCACATGTGACTCTCAGGCTGCAGATTGTCGTTGTCTATAATACAGGGTAGAACAAATGTCTGCGGAGATTCTCCATCATCCAGGTCATGTTTGTTCCAAAAGTGCTTTTGTTTTCCAAAAGAAGCTTCTTAGGTGAGGAGTGAAACATTTTCAAAGAGAAACAAGGCAGTCCAGTTGCTTTTTGGAAAAGCACCGTTGGGGTAGAAGAGATGTTTTAAACCCAAACCTTCCCCAAACAAACACAAAAGAAAATTGAACCTTTCAGAGCTATCCACCTCAGGGATGGCAGTTACTAGAGATCCTCTGTGGCTCTTGGACCTGAAAAAAGGCAGAGATCAATGGTCATCATTATTTTGAAGTGATACCTCTAAGTGTTAGACGAAGGCATTGGATCTAGGACTGGCTTTGGTCCTTTCCGGAATGATGTCGTGTAGTGTATTTCCATAATGGAAATATAGCTAATACCCAGGTTAAGAACAAATTCCATTCCTAACTCAATCTTTAACTCAAATTTATACGTAAGTCAGAATTCATACTTGCAAGTGGACAGCCTATTATCCAAAAATGGGAGTTAGCATTGTCCTTGAGCTGATGAAGCACTGAAGCAGCACAATGCTTCCAAGAATTGCTGAAAACAGGCTCTATATTACCAACATGTGGCTTCAGCAGTTCCTGAAATGATTGTGTGGCTTCAGCGCTTTGTCAGCACGAGGAAGAATGCCATTTGCCATTTTTAGTAATGGGCAGCCTTCTTGTACTACAGATTATCCATAAATTGGATATTGTTAACCTGGGGACTCCCTGTAGAGAAAACATAGCCTATGTTCACTATTCCTTACGGCAGTATTTAAAGGATGACTAATTCTGTATTATGGAAAACAATCAGCCAAATCTACTGAAAATTGAATTGCAGCTGCTATTTCGATAGCGGGTGGGAGCTGTAAATGTTCTGCATCCCCACCCCCACCCCCTGCTCCCCACAAGAATTGTTCAGAGAGCCAGTTTGGTATGGTGGTTAAGGTGCTGACCCAGAAACCAGGAGACTGAGTTCTAGTCCTGCCTTAGGCATGAAAGTCAGTTGGGTGATATTGAGGCAGTCACTGTCTCTCAGCCTACCTCACAGGGTTGTTATGGGGAAAATAGGAGGAGGAAAAAGTATGTATGTTTGCCATCTTGAGTTATTTATAAATTGATAAAGAGATGATAAAAATCTAATGACTTTTTCGCTGCATCAAAGAAAATGTATTTGCTGATCTAGATAAGATTTTGACAGGTACTGATGAAAAGGTGATTAAAAAACTGTATGGATATTTATTAGAAATTAAACTAGAAGAAGAACAAGTTAAAGAAACTTATGATTGCTTGGGGGAAGAACTTTGGATATGGGATTGATTTAGAGAAATGGCAAAAATTGTGGTCTCAAAATTATAAAATGACAATGTCAACAGCTTATAAAGAAAATTTGTATAAGATGTTTTACAGGTGGCATTTCCCCCCGACAAGAATAGCAAGAATGTTCAAGAACAAATCTGAAAAATGTTGGAAATGTCATCAGACACCTGGCTCATATTACCATATGTGGTGGGCTTGTGCGGACGCTAAAAAATACTGGACTAAAATCCACACGTGGTTGGAAAAAATGACAAAAAAACATATAGACTTGAAACCAAAGATACTTTTATTGGGAATTTTACCTGAAACATATAGCAAAGATTTGAAATACCTGATTGTAAATGTATTAACAGCGGCTAGGATTGTATTTGCTAAAAACTGGAAAAATGAGGAAATACCATCACAGGAGGAAATCATTAAGAAAATATTGGAATGTGCTGAAATGAGTAGATTGACATTTGAAATTAGTGAACAAGAGGATAAACAATTTTATAAAATTTGGGACCTTTTCTATTAATGGTTAGATAATAAAATACAGTAATGAAATATGTAGATTTTTAGAAAATAATAAATATATAAAGATGTAT